CTGCAAAGTTCTCCATGCAATTGACTGAATTTTTTTTTGGGGGGGGGGAAAGTTTATCATTCCAGTTCTGCCGCAGCACCACCGATTAGCTACATGTGGCATGGGCCAATTTTGGAGCAGGCAGCAACAGCAGCACAAAGAAGAGGGGTCTTTGAATTTGGCAAGCAGGCGGCAAAGAGGGAGAAGGAAGCGATGAGAATACAAAAGGGAGGATGCCCAGATGAGAATAAGTCTCAAGGCCTAATATGGTGGACATGAAGCTTTCTGTTCTGCATGTGACTCAGGTTTCACCAGCCACCTGGCAGGAATACTGGAATTTGCAGTTATCCAGGGGCTGAACTGCATTTAGTGATTATTATGTGTTGGGCTGACCCAAAACATTTTGCTGCCTGAGCAAGACGGTTTCCCAGCCTTACCCCCACCCCACACAGATGAGGTAGCCATTTACACATGACAGAAAAGGAGAAGATAAATCTATATAGATGCAGATCTAGAGGACACACATCTATATTCCACAATTGTGGGGAGGCCTGTGGCTGGGTGATCTCACGCGTGCCTGGCTTCTTATGACTCATTATCGGTAAACTGTGCTTGGATTGGAGAGTCCATTAAATAAAAGATTCTTTCAAAATAGAGGGCTGGTAGCACTTGAAGCACAGTGAGAAGGTCTATAAAGGAAGACATATGGCCACCTTCCAAAGGGATGCAACCCCCTTCCCATTGAGAAGGGTTAAATACGACATCTGTGCTGGCAGCCAGTGTTCTCCGCATCTGAGAACAGCTGGCTGGTCAGGCCACAGGGCTCGTGCCCTCCAAAGCCCTTCTGGTGGTCCCCACCCCTTAGCATGTGCAAGCCAAGGTGGTCCCATCACTCTGCACAATGGTAGGGCCTGCTCTGAGCCGTATCCTTCCACTCTGGGCTTGTGAACAATGTGAAGAGCAGCAGAGGGAGAACAGGACCCTGCCACAGCAAGAAGCAATGGTCCAGCACTTAACTCTCCTCCCACCCAAGGCTCTTCCCTGCACCTCTTACCCAGCCGAGCTGCTGTTTCTTCCCCACCCAGACAAGGATTTTGGACAAAGGGAGTGGGGTAGAGAAGCCGGGAGAAAAGATGGCAGGGGAAACTCTGCTGCAAACTATTCTCTCTCTACAAACTCCCCACAAAGCAGGCTTGCAAAGCCAGGAAGAAATGTGCTTGGCTTTTTTTGGCCAGAGGTGCCCTGTTTATGCCCAGGCCACCAACAGAGTGGTATAAACTTCTTGCCCCGGTGCCAATGATGCAACTCCCTGGGGAAGGCTCCGTCTCTGCCAGACTTGAGAATGCCTCTCCCTTTGTCTTCCTGCCAGCTCTCAACTCTGCTGCATCCCAGAAGTCCATGGTGAGCCCAACCTTGAGGCAAGTTTCCTAAGAAGGACATTCTGGTGAGCCCAGGGAACTTGTACCCAAGGAAGCATGCCAAGATCAGCAACTGATGCCAGCTCTGGGTTTTGGGACACTCTCAGGGATACTGATAAAATGTGTGCTTGGACATTCATTAATATTTGGCATGGATATTTGGTCTGCCTTTGCTGAAACGTATGTGCAATTGATATATTCAATATTTCTCCCTGTGTGTGCACATGTTTAACAGTACTGTTTTGCTGAAGCGCACAGTAACTTTTTAAAAGATGCAATACTGATCCTAAGGTTCAGTTACTGGCAGCAAGCGCTTTGCACTATAATATGCCGGCATGTTTGGCCCTGCTTCTCTTGCCTCCTTACCCACTCACCACTTAATGTGGCCCCGGAGAACTTCTCTGAAAAGGAATTAGGCCCCTGACCTGAAAGACGTTCTGAAACTTCTTAGATGCTCCTTTATGCAAAAGTTTCCTCTGAAATGGATGTGAAGGAAGGCCTCTGAAATTGTTTTTCTCCATTGAATTTGTAGGATTGTTCTGGCTTTCATTAGAAATGGTCTCAAGCTGGCATATACGAAGAAAGTTAAGGAAAAAATGGGGGAAGTAGTGGGAAATGTCAAGAAGGCTACAAACAGGTGTTACTGCCTGGACCTGCCCCCCTCATCCAACCGCAAAATCCATGAATGGAACAGAGCACTTGCCTGACAAAACCTTCCTCTGGAAGCACCCAAAATGGTCCATCCATGCCTATTTGGGAGCATGGAACACACACTGCCGACAGTTTGCTCAACACTGAGTCAGGGCCAACATGAACGACCCTCTTCACATATTTTCTTTTGCTATGCTAGCAAGTCTTTGCGGCGGGGCAGGGAGAGTGAGAAAGCAGAGACTACTTGGGAGGGGTGGTGGCCCTGGCAAATCCAGCAAATGACAAAATTGTCAACAGTCTGGCCTAATCAAAATACTTCAGCAAGAAAGCAAAATATTAAATTAAGGGAACAAATTGGCAGCCAAGAAGCAGCATGACTCCTCAGTAATCACCCATAATTCCCTTCTATTACAGATTGTTTTGGCTAGAGATGGTAGAAGGGTATGTATAATGTGTCAAATGGGCCTGAAAAACAAGGTGAGATTGTACTTCCTGAAAAAAAAACCTTACAGATTTTTGTGGGCCCCAAAGCAAATGCAAGTGCTTGCTTCAACTAATGTAACCAGTCGTTGAATTTCCTTTGGGACAGAGAAGCATAACTTTAACTACTAACACTTTTCTAAGGCCAAGGACATTTCAGTATTTAAAACAGTGACCATAGTGCCCAGAATCTAGCCCAGCAAGCACAGTTCTGCATCTACTGAATTCAGTGGAACTTACTCCCAGGGAAATATGTATAGACTGGCACACTAAGGATCCTATATTTTGATCACCAAGGCGGCAGACAGCTTTGCATGGGACATGGAAGTACCATGCAGAAAACATACGCAGGAACGAGATGCAAATCCCAAGGTGGTGTACTGATACAATTAACTCGCTCTAGATTTAGACTTGCTTAGAATAAACCTGCTGAAACCAATGGAACTTACGATAGTCATGGCTAACTTGAAATTCCACTGATTCCCATAGGCTAACTCCAAGCATTTTAACTGAGATACTTTAACAAAATTCAAATTAATTTGTAATACTATAGAACAATACAAGGAGTTAAGATGGAACAGTGTGATTAATTACAAGTTTGGGTGAAGAAATACAGGAAGCAATTGACACGTGCCTGCCTCCCAAACTGCACAGGGGGTAGTTTTCCGAAGAGCAGGCAGCGCTACTGAGACGGCCCACCGGTGAAGTATTACACAGCAACACTGCATTTATTTCAGAGCTGACAATTGTAGAAGTCAGCTGGTGGTCTACTAGGCATCTTGGTCCCAGGCTGTTTGGGGCTTGAGCCTGACAGTAACTCTTCAACATGACTTGGTAGCTGATGGGCAGCCAGTGCCGTTCTTTTAGCAAAGAGGTTGTGCAAACAAAGCTGGCTGTCCCATGGGAACTCGCTGGAGGCAGCATTCTGCACTCGCCACGGCTTCTGAACCAAGAGCAAGGACAGCTACACCAAGTGCAAAGTTCTCAGAGGCTAGGCTCTCCTGTTCAAGAACATATATAGTTAGTGAACCAACCTAGGCTTCCAGAATCAGGGATATTTCCAGCAGCATGCAAAACCACATGCTTGCTCCTTGCTAGTATGTCACGTCTAGGGTGCTGCTGAACCAGAAATATTTTTATCTGCAGTGGAAGTTTTTCACAGCATGAAAGATGGCCTGCTAATGTCTGAATGTCCAAGCACAAAAACAGGGCTAGCCAAAAACTGGAACGAAGTTTTTTCACGTTGCCACCAATTCTAAGAAAGAAAAAGCATGCACAATCCTCTCATAGATGAAGTCAGAAGCAAGTTCCACATTACTTAGACATCTGGCCTAGTTAGTAATGTTGGGGTTGCGGCCTTTATTTATGTATAGTGTACTAATAAAGGACAAAAAGGGTTTAACCACAGGGAGTTTCCACTCGGTGGCCTAGCAGGTGTTACCAAAGGCCAGCTAGAATGGACCCCAACAGGCAGGCATTTCTAACAGTGAGCAAATTTGCACATGACCATACCTTTGAATATGATTGGACCTGCTTGGAGATTGCTCTCACCCACCATTAAATTTGAATTAGTTATGTTAACTCTGGTTGTTCAACCCAACCCAGTGTTTGGATGTCACAAAACAACCTGTACCAGAGCTTACAAACTCAGGATAATGTGGTGGTGGCACAAGTTACAGGCAAGTGAGGTCAGTGACAACACATCACTGGAAGCACTGAAAACTATTTTTGTATTAGTCAAGCCAAGTCGCTTATGCAAAATTATAGTTTAACTAGGATTGAAGAGATAATTGACACTGGGACCCTGCCTAAGGAAACTGACAGATCCTAACCAGCCTGTTATTGTGGGGTTTGGAATGCACATAGCTTAGCTGAATCTATCAGAGCTGTTCCCTAAAAACAGAAAGCTAGGTAGGCTATTAGCTATTGTTCCACCAAGTACTTAATAGTTAATACCATTGTTCTATTATGCAGACCCATTTTAGCTTTCTGCATCATCATCATGCGTTGCTCTGAGTGGACGGATGATTCAAAAATATTCTGAACTAAATCCATAGAGAAGGCGGCAGACCTCAGCAAATCATGGGACGGATCATGCCATCAACCATTTTTAAGAAGGCTGGGAATGGAGACAGAATGTGTATTTCTGAACAGATTCATTGCTTCTGCCATAGCTTTTAGTAAAAGCAGCCAGTGACACCTAGAGGCCGATTGCTTAATTACTAAAAGTAATTCTGCTTTTGTTGCTTTTAGTAATCTTGTTTTGTAAATTTGTTTCTGCTGCTTTGATCCCATTGCTTCATTAACCTGTTATTCAGCTCAGTCGCGTGTGATATGTACTTAATACTCAAGAAGTCCAGTCTATTATGCACATAGATCTGGGAATTCCCATGACTGGAGCTACTGGTGTAAAGATTACTGCACTGAGTCACACATAGTATTAAGACATTTGATTGAAGACAGCATAAGGTATGCAGTTGGTAAGTATTTTACTATGACCAAGGAAGATCCAGTCACTGTAAGCATAACCACAGTATTCCCAAATGATGTAGAAGGTACATGTGGACATAAACATGTAGCACTGAAGTAATCATAGTAAGTCTTTTGATAATAGTTTGGTGCAAGCAAAAGAAAATCAAGGGCAAATAATAAACACTCTTTTTAATTTGACAAAACAAAGCATAATCATTTGAAAAAACAGTTTGAATGAAGTTGCAAGACTGGAAGCACTCAGTCTTCTATTTTTTCCAATGCTTCCATGTCCTCAGGGTCAAGACGCTTGATAGTGATCTCTGAAAAGAAAAAGAAGTTATTTTTTAGTTGGCCTTTTGAGAAGTGCATTCTAGTGCTGAGAAGAGGTAGAGCTCAAGGATTTCTGAGATGTGGGCTCACTGCAGGAAGAAATGTCTTGGCTTAGGATAAGGATTGTGATGCACAAACTTTCCATAATGATGTATAAACTCCAAGCATGCTAAAAGGTCTGGGTGGTGGTGGTTCTTTTTTTGTCTAAACATGCACAAAATTGCACCCTTAATGGACTGCAGACCAGTAGTGGCTAAACACTGTCAAAGCGCCCAATCTGAAATGCTTCAGCCTCTCCCTTTTCATCTTAGTAACACTGTGGTATATCTTTGCAGATTACATTTTATGGTTGTAGCAGAAGCTGAACGTATTTCCAAGCAGGAAATCCAATACTGATTGATGCATACCTGCACTCTTACTGTTCTACTCTAGTAGATTGTGGAAATACAGTGTACTCACGGAAGTGCTCTTGAATTGAAAACAAAAGCGGGAGATTATGCCTCTCCACCATGTTGAATGCTAAGCCCTTCTTCCCAAAGCGGCCTGTTCGACCAATGCGGTGCAGGTACGTCTCGAAGTCAGCAAGCTTCGTCACCTTTGTAGGAAGGCTGAAGTTGACTACGATTGTGACCTGCTTCACATCAATGCCTGGCAGGCAGCATAAACAAGGAGGTTACTTCCAAAGCGCCTGCATCAGAACAGTAAATGCTTCCAAAGCTTAGATCACATTGGCTTGTTCCAATTCCTACCTCTAGCACAGACGTTGGTTGTAATGAGAACTTTGTCTTTCCCATCACGAAATTTCTGGATCACTTCTGCTCGCTGCTCAACATCAAGCTCTCCACTCAGCAGGGATACTTGGTGCCCATCATTCAACAGTGCCCAGTAGAGCCATTTGGCATTTTTTCGAGTCTATCAAAGGAATACAGGGGGGAATACACGCAAGACTATGACCAGCACTGCAGTGGAAAATATCCACATTCCATTTTGGCATATATGGCTTGCAACATGCCCACCTTGCACCTTCAGCTCCTCCCACACTGGCTCACTGTAGCCAAGATCAATAAAGGCATTGCTATGCCACGGACAAATCCTTTTAAATAATAATTCCCTCTGTGGGACAAGTCAGAGTAGAAACATGCTGGCATTGCTTGTCTGAGCTTAACAGAATTCCTGCTTCTGTCTGAGCCCAATGACCAGAAGCAGGTTGGGAGTGGGAAGGGTTGGTTCTGCAGACTTCCATCTCTAAGATGGGGTGTGCTTTGAGCATTTTTTAAATGCTGAAGGGAATCTGCACACATCATATAAATCATGAAACCAAGCAATCTGTGCAAATCATGTTATTTTGCACTTTCTGTCCAAATCACCACCTGAAAAACATGGTTCTCATGCAAGTTGTGAAAGCGACACAAAGACCATCCATCTTCCCAAGTCAATTTTTCAATATTGTCTCATTTTACACAAATGTCCTTAGCTTTTTTTTTTTAAACTGCAACATGGAAATAATAGCCCACCTTAGGGATGGGCTGACTCAACCTGAGCCACAGCAAGTCAGGGCTGGCACAGGGCCGGCAAAGTAGAATCCAGGGGGGCAAATATGTTTCTTCAGACATCTGACTAAAAGGGCTCACAACAGGTCCCCTCAGCTTGGCTTAATCCCTGCTGTGCAAGCTGAAGTGACACTTACACACCAGCAAATTCAACACTTGCTCAAGCTGCCCATCTCGCTCAGGCTCTGTCAGATTCAGCAAGGCTGAACCGGCAGGAGATGAGACCTCAGACTTCAAGCGTTCATCTCGTCTGCTGGTGCAGCCACTGCACCCACACCCCCTGGGAGGAAGTGCTCTGCAGTGCAAGTCCAGGGGCCTTTCTCAGAATTCTCAACACTTCAAACTATGTGGAGGTTTACAGCAGATGGATGCCTTCGGTTTGCTTGACAAGAGGCTGAAAAGCTTCTGCGCAATCCTACTGAGGAAGCAACAGAATTACATTCAAGCAATCACAGCTCTTCCTAATTATGGAGAAAAGCCACCTAAAGGAAACTGGAATATGCACAGACACACACTGAATGTGTGTCATACATGTGTGTACACACACTGAATATAACCCCGGAATTTGCTGCCATCATGCCACGATATGAGAAATGTATACAGCAGGTTGCCTGTAACTACATCCAACTAATGGCCTTGCTTGTCACACTATTCACAGCCACCATGTCTTGTATCCAGGATGGTTATGAGCATTTGCCTTAAGTCTAGCAAAAGAAAAAAAGTCGAGATGGAAAAGGGGCCGATCCAAAACAGCACCCTTCCCTCACTACCTTGTGGTTGTCAGCACTATGCAACCATTTCCACCTCGAGATCGTGACCTACCACTACCCCCCACTGCAAACCTACACTTTGCATGCTTTCTTGACCCGGTCCAAGTTAGCTGTGTTCTGCAAAGGCACTTTACCTGACAAAAGATGATCGCCTGGCCAACTGTGATGCTGCCATAGATATTGCACAGGGCTTTGTATTTGTCTTCCTTATTCTCACACTCAAAATAATATTGCCTGATATTGTCAAGGGTCAGCTCCTCTCGGCGGAGCTTAATGATGTTCGGTTCAGGGACAATGCGCTGGGCAAACCACAGTACAGGGTCCTCAAAAGTTGCTGAGAAGAGAAGCATCTGGCAATCTGGTGACAAAGCTCTGGAGAGGAAAAAAGGAGTTCTGGTGTACATGGCATGGAACAGATGCCATTTAATGGCCAAATAAAGCGACATCCCTGTATCCTTTGCCAACAGTCCAAATAAAATCAAGTAATTAATTGGGGAGCAGCTATAACTCAATGACTGAGGCACTGAATGTAAGACAGTGCCCAGGTCAACCCCTGTATTTCCAAGGTTGGGAAAACCCCCAGTAAGAAATCTTGGAGAGTCACTGCTAGGCAGCTTAGATCCTATTGCACTAGATTTACCAATGGTCTATCCAGTATGCGCAGCCTCTTTGGTATCTATTTTTGAGATGGCTGCATTACCTCTGCACTTGCTTTAAGTCCACTCAGCATGGGAATAGGAAGTGGCCCTTCCTAATACAAGCTCTGCATACAGAAGGTTGCAGGTTCCATTTCTAGTTCCTCCAGGTATGGATTATCACACAGGAGGCTGTTTTATATCAAGTCAAGGAAAAGGTGGAGGCACTCAATTCCTACTTCACCTCAGACTTCTCCAACAAGGAAATCTACAACCAAGAGGAAGCACAAGCTGAAAGTGAGAGACGGCAGTCCAGGGTCGACAGACAAATGGCCAAGCAGTATCTACATGAAATAAACATGTTCAAATCTCTGGGACCCAATTAACTCCATCCCAGAGTCATAAAAGAGCTAGTGAAGGAACTTTCAGAACCACTGGCTATTATCTTCGATACATCATGGAAAACAGGACAAGTGCCAGATGACTGGAGAAGGGAAACAAACATGGGCCAGAAACTGCATGCAGGAAGACCCAGATTCCTACACAGTTATCCTACAAAGCCACAACAATGGTGTAGGAAAAGAGTCGTGTGAAGCAGCCTTTAGACTAAAGTCATTTTTGTACTACCTGGTCATAAGAATAGCATGCTTTTCCCAAGGAATAACTAATCAATTGAAAAGTCAATTTCTATCAGTACAAATCATGCTCTAAAAATCATCTTCTCTGATGCTTAAAAGCAATGAGTCCACCTGGATAAATTCTACAGCTTGTATTTTTGGCAAAGTGCAAGCCACGTCTTTGGAAGAACTTTAGGCAAAAAATTGAACATGTTTACCTCTGAATGCGAACACTCTGGTCCAAGAAATTCTGTTTGTCAATCATGACATCTGCCTCATCCAGTACAAACACTTTGATTTTCTTCACATCCACAAATTTTAGCTTGAAACACCAATCTAACATGGTCCCCGGCGTTCCAATTACTATCTGTTCTTCCTTTACAGTTCCTCTTGGAACTGGAATAGAGATTTAAGTTACATTCAACCTGACATCAGAGGCATATTTAGTATACTAAAAAGGAGTTGGGACTATGCAGAGGTTTTCTTCAAGAGTAGCAGAAGCCATTTATCTCATCCTGCTGTCCCAGTGCTAGTCTTGACCCAACACTGGTAAACTTTCAAGAGTACACAAAGTGTATGCCTTCCCCAACCTGCTGCACCCAGATCTTTAGGACTTTTACTAGTATTCTGGACAGCATGGCCTATATTCATTAAAAGCAGTATCTGGAGGGCACTAAGCCAGGGAAACTTACAAAGTTTCCCACTCTTATAAAGATGGTGCTATAGGGTTTCTTCCATGGTACCAACATTCCACTAAGTCTTAAGTCTGAGTCAAACATCTTCCAAAAGATAAAGCAAATTAAAAAGACTTTTTAACCCTGTGTCTTAGTTACAAAAAGACCACTACAAAGGATGGAAACTGCTACAGAATCCAAAGTATGAAATGCATGCTGTGTTACTATATATATATTTTATAGTATAAATAGAGGTTGGGATAGGGTCTAGAACATTTCATTTTGCAACACAAGTATTTAATGTTTAGGCAGTGAGATAAACATTGGTCAGAAAGGCATCAAAGAGCAATCCTTACTTCTGTTCCCTTGAACAGCATATGAAACCCTAATGTTGACGCAAAACTTTCCCATCTTCTCAACCACTCGTCCAGTTTGCACAGCAAGTTCAAAGGTGGGAGCTAGACAGAGGCACTTGAGGAGCAGACAACACAAATGAAACAAGACAAGCAAAAAAAGATGGAGCAAGGTTCTTTCAGCGTAACCACATGTTTTAGTCTCCAAAACAGTGTAGCACAAACTTCAGTGTAAACTGCAACCCATCTTTTCCTCTGTAGCCATTTTATGCTTGTCAGGGTACAAGTTTACTCTCTTTGTATGGGGCACCTGTATAACTTTGTTGTGAGATCATGGTTCTTCTGTGTTTTTCCCATGTTCTTTCCACCTTCCTCAACAATATTTATATTAAACAAAACAAAATGAATAGCACAACCTCCACAGGCATAGACTGGCTTACTTCTACCCTCCTCACTTAAAAAGACATCAAGCTTATTTTGGTTTAATAGCCCATTGGCCATACTCCATCATTTAAGAATTTAAAAACACAGTATGACAAAAAAATTGTCACATCTACAATACAGTTTTTACAAAAAAACAACCCTGCTCAGACGTACTTTTAATCTTGCAGCATCAGGAAGGGTTGAAAATTTTGACAGCCATTTGTTTAAAAAATACTCTCACTTTTTCATATTTCAGGCGATAAAAGAAAACGTGAAAAGGTATATCAAACTCTGACAAGGGGCAGTTTCAACAGAGTTCGTTTGGGGTTATCTTAAGAAACTGGCCCCTCATCTGGGCAGTTAGAAGTGTGTTACAATGTGCTACCATATAGGATTGTCTCAACTTGGGAACTACCAATATGTTCAAGTGGACATGTAGCTCAAATATGGAGGAGAATTTAATTCCCAGAAGGGGAGCATTTACGTCTAGCATTCCCTTGAAGGGAGTCCTAATCTTCCTTATGTAATTTTTCTATAAGCAACTTCCACCTTTTTTATTTAGATTTTCTGTAAGCCCAATCTGCTTATTTCGGTTTCTACCACATCATTCCACTTCAACCAGCAGTGCTCTTGTGCTGCCAGTGTAGTGAAAGTTGGAAGCTCTTCAGCATTTATTAACTGGCATTTAAAATTAATTATGGTCTTCCCACAATTTTTGGGAGCCCTGCTTCAAGCCATATCATTGCAGAGGTGATACAGGGAGGCAGAGTTAGAACTTTATGAAGAAAAAATTCCTGGAGTTTTTCAGGTTGCTCTAGTAGGCTGAAAAAACAGATCTGGGAACCATATAACAGATGAAGCAGTACCAGAGTTTTATATGTCTTCAGGAGAGCTGGCACATATTGGGCTCCTTAAATATAAAAATACTAAAATTATGGTATTCACCAAGACAACAAGATGGCCCAATAAAAAATGGAAGATTGGCACACATAAATTACAACAGGTTAATGAGTTCAGATACTCTGGAATCATGTTCTAACCAAATTTAGCATGGTTTAAACATGTTGAATTTAACATGGTTTAAGCATGTTAAATATCTTAAGGACAAAGTCAAATTAAGCTATTAGCCCTGAAAAAGTTGTAATACACACACAGACACACACCTAAAGAGGTATGGTTTGATGTGTAGTGGGCTGCATTCAGGTAAGCCTACCGTCACACCTCTGCACACCTCCCCCATTAGCTTTCTGGCTGACACCATTTTCATTACATTAAAAAAAACTTAATCTTTTGATATGCCATTACTTTTTCAAAAGAAAGAACTAAAGAGTGTATTTAAGTGCAAATGCACTTACATGAAAAGCATTTTATAACAGGTTAAAAAGTCAGTGCCATTTTATCAGTGTAACATTTTTCTCACACAGTTTTTGTAAAGCAACCTTTTACTTCTTAATGGAGAACTAACTGCATGACAGTACTTAAGTTTAAAAAGCACTTTAGTTCAAACATGATTTTAAAAAACAGATTAAATGTTTCTCCACTGAGGTGAATTGCTCCTTCCCTGCCTGCAGGCTGCATCATACCAGCTAGTGTGGATGACACACAGAGTGTGGAAAGTAGATAGCAATTCTACATGTAGTTTATAGCAGAAGAACCATGATTGGGTAGGTCTAACTCTCAGTCTGATGTACCCCTAGTCAGATCATTGAAGATACCTGCAAAAAGCAAGTACACCTTTTATTTGATTACATTTATGAATTGCTTATATTAAAGACATCGCAAAGCCATGTATATTGGAAAAACGTTTACCTTCCTGGGAAAGCCTGACAGAAAAAGTACATTTTGGTATGTGTTGACAACTCAAGGATTGGCTTTTGCCTAATTTGTAGCGGTAAGAAGCTCCAAGTCAGTGGGTGCAATAACACTAAGGGCCTAATTGTATCCACACAGGACTCTTTTCTGGATGAGCAAGTCCCACAATCTTCTCCAGCCAGCACTGCTGGCTGAGAGATGTAGGGTAATTTTCCCTGTCTAATTTTCCCTGTCTATAGCATTGTGCCTCATTTATTCTTTTATTTATAGTGTTTACTCCTCTCTATCTAGGAGGATCCAGAGTGGTGAACAGCAAAAAGTTAAAAGAGATAAAAACATCAAAAAATATATTATAAAACAGAATTGGATTAAAACTGTAGCTGGTCAGCAAGAGAGGCTTCTGGGAACAAAGGTGTCTTCAGCAGACACCTGAAACAGCATCATGTTGGTGCCTGACAGTCAGAGGTAAGAAATTCTGTAGAAACAGAGACACCACTCTGATGGCTTTGTCTGATGAACTCCACTTGGGCTGTAAGTCCATGTGCGACCACCAGAATATCTCCAAGGAGCTCAGCAAACAGACAGTCTGGTAAGGTCTTATTCCAAGCTATGATGTACAGACCTCTGCAAGCTGAAGCCTTCACAGCTAAGGTGTGGAGCAATTGTTTTATGGAGTTGGCATCACTTTTTACTTGGATGCCTCTTAAAATTGATAATGTCACTCCAGTAATATTAGAGTGTGTGGCACTTTCATGGAAGTTTCCTGAAACTAACCAGCCTCCAGGTTTTTCAGAAGCGACCTCAGGACTGAAACAGATACATGCAACCAATTAACAGTAGCAAGATGGGGGGCATGAAGGCAGAGAAGCAGCCTGTACTCAGGGTAATAGCAATGTTTTAGAGTTCAAGCTACCATTGGTGAACTGAGTGTGACTCTAAAGTAAATGACTTGATTGCACTTAGTTATTGCACTTAGTTGATTTTACCTGCGGAAATTTGTCATTTGGATTAACTCTGCTCAGCATAGCCAGAACAAAAGCCGCTGTTTTGCCTGTCCCTGACTGACTTTGTGCTATAAGATTTTGGGGTCTGAAATACAGAATCAAGTTGGGATTAATGTAAACAGATAGCAACCGTTCAACAATAGAAGCAGGTGGGGGACAAGGTGAAGCATTCTGTTTTTAGGGATAACAACAATCAAGGAGGGAACCTTTAATTAAATCGGCAGGAGAATGCATAGAAAGACAGACAGACAAGTGTGAAGAGTCCTAAAGCAAAGTAGAAAAATGATTTAAAGGCAGGGACTGAGAATAAAGGGAAGAAAACAGCTCGAAACCATGAATGGAGAACATACACAACAGTGAATGCACACCAACTCACTAGTCAGGTTTCTGACTGTGAAATCAGTGCACACAATTTCAATCAGATTGATACCATAGCTCAATTGGAAGAAAGGAAGTTTTCTGCAACTTAAAACACTGTGGCCAACAGGAAATTAATAATCCAACAGAGGAACACATATCCTTTTCCAAAAGTGATCCTGTAAGAGGACCCTTTATTATGCTAAAGGCTGTTCTCTGCAAATGAGAAAGACTTCTACATTTACAAGAAATCAAGCATGTATCAGCTCAAAGGAACACTGACTAATAGACGAAGGTGCTTCCCACTTTGACACAAGCATTCTTCAATGTCTTTTATACCAACTCACGGATCAGCTAACATCATGGGTAGTGCTGTTTCTTGTATCTTGGATGGTCTGTTGAAGCCCATAGCATAAATGCCTTGCAGTAGTGCAGGTTTTCTGATAAAAAAAGGGGGAAACCAGTTTTACAAGTGAACGGCTCAGCTGCCATTAAGCTCAGTTGAAAAAACGTCACTGTCTAGCACTTAGACTGCATGAATGTGTAGGTGTTACAGATGCCTTAAATAAGTGCACTTAACTTTTCATAACTTTGAAAATCTTAACCATTTCCCTGAGGGGTAGCCATGTTAGTCTATTGCTGCAAAAATGACTGATTATCTTGTAGCACTTAAAGAAAGGTTTATTCTGGCATAACCTTTCATAAAACAATATTCATTTCATCAGATGCATGAACCTTTAACCTTAAATTGTCAGATTTATAGGCACATGGAGAGGGGAGACATAATGAGGGCGCAATCCTCGGGTTACAGTTCTGTTGCCATCAAGTATCCGATGCCCTGCTGGCAAGAGGGGCAATGAATAAAAGAGAATGGGGCAACAGCACTATGGGAATTAGTGGCAATTCCAAACAGAGAGGGAGGAAGCTGTGGTCAACAGGAATACGATGAGAGTGGGCCTGTGCGTGAGGGGCAAAAAAGAGAGCTAGACCTGGCCCAAATGACTTCACTGCTAAATGACAAATTATAAGAGATTCACAAATTGGAAGCAACAGTTGGTGTGGCAGGCTTCCCCTGTGTTAGGTAATAGTGCTTAATGGACAGCGAACATCAGCAGGGATGTCTGTTCCCCCTCCCCTAAGGAACATGCCAATGCAGACCAGGACAAGCATAAAGGAAGCCCTTGTGTTGTTGTAGTTCCAAGAGACTGGGACAAAATCAGGCTGGTCAGAGAAGCTGACCAGGTTTATACATACCAGTAAAAGTTGCTCCTGAACTGTTTACAAACATTGTGGTCAAGCATGCTTCTAATTTCTGTGTCCTATAAGCAAACTATGATTGTAGGTTGCCAGCATGACATCTGAACCCAGATTCTCCAGTTTAGTCAGGAGTTAAATAAGCCAGAGTCAACCTAAAATTTGTGTTGTTAATTGAAGTGAGGAGATGCTGTTCATATACCCCCACTCAAATCAGCCGATCTGTAGGTTAAGTAACTCATTAATTGGCATTACACACAATCTAGCCACGTGTATATAAATAAACCATATATCACAAAAACTGTGTGAGCTTCTAGTGATTATATTCCAAGGAAATAAAAAGCCAGGTAAAACACAGGCCCTGAGAATTTCACTGCCCAGAGAACCGGGATGTAAGCATGAAAAACTGCAACTGAATCAAGTAGCAAAATAATAAATAGCAAACGTCAGAGAGCAAGAGGAATTGGCATTTCCTAGTAAGCTTGTATGGCTGTTTTAATTCCTGATGTACTGTTCTCAGTTTCCTGCAGACCAGAAACTCAGCAAAGGACAATAATTGTGTAAAACCCACCAAGAAAAAGGAAAGTAAAATTAGACTCTAGTTACTCACAAATGAAGCTCCTCAAAGGTTCTCACAGAAAATAGTGGTGAGCTGGGATCACGCTGTAGAACCTCTACATGATGAAAGGATTCCACTAGGGACTTTCTTATCAATTTATTCAAGAGAGATGTTTCTGCTGAAGATACTGTGTTAGGTGAATAAAAAAAATACTGGTTAAGCCTAAGGGTTTTTAAAAAATGGACTGTGAGAGAAGCTAAACCTGCATGGATTAAACAAAAGATATGCAAAATGCCCAATATAAAAAGCAGGGTGGATAAAAAACTATACACTTGGAAATGCTTCAGGGGATATGCAGGAGCATGCATGACTCCCCAGAAGCAGGCTTACTGTATCAATAATTAAAAAGGCAAAATACAAATGGTCATTAATGATGTGTGATCTTACCTCTGTCATTGTCCCAATTCTCACTCCAATTCATCTTGTCTCCATTATTGTTTGCATCTGAAATAGGATTTTCAGAACATTATAAGACTAACCTATACATTTGTAGTTTGTCTCCTACAGAATGGCCAGTGCTCCATAAATAAAATAACTAAAATCAGCCTAACTTCTAACTACTGAAAGTATCTAGCTGGTTAAAAGGTGAAATAAGAAAAGATCAAAGGCAACTCTAAAATATATTAGAAATTTGGGCAAGGCCTTTGTATTGTGAGGCAAAAGCAGAGACTTCACAGGCAGTTCAGATGAACATCAATGTCTTTTTTAAAAAATAAAAAATGGATTTTCAAATTTAAATCAGATCTTTTTGAGGAAAAATCTATCTAAAATAGTTTTCTGTTTAAGATACATTATTGCACAAAGGATATTCATCATGAAATAAGAATTTGTTTTTAATTATATATCATGAGGCTATATATTCATGCAAAATTAAATTTTTTTGGTGAATTAATTCCAGTAATCTATTCACAATGTCATGCCCTTCCAGAGGTTTCTGTAAGACTATAGGGCAATTTTTCTGCCTAGAAGGTATTAACACAGACGTTTGGATTTGCAGTTCTCAAAACTGTGAATTTGTGTCAGCAGAGGTCACATTCCTCTTCTTCACAGCAAAATTGTTATAAAATGAACATACACAGTTGAGAAAAGGACCTTATTCCCACTGGTCCTTTGCAAATCTATGTACACAGAATCACCCCTTGCCTCTTATGTGCTAAGTTCCAAAAAATTCAATGAATAGAAGAGGATTGTTGGGAGTGGAAGGGCAAGCAGAAAAAATGAAAGTAAAACCTCTTGAGCAGAATACTCCACAAGTCTTTGGATCTTTTTGTGTATAGCCTGAGGTTTATATTATTCTTTCCCTGGAGGAGAGAATAGCAGCAGGCCATAAAAGAAACCCAGTTTAGGAATATTTTAATGGAGTTTTTTACCTATGGGTAAGGCATGCATGCATATGAATTATGTAGGAAAACACAGAAACAGAGCAAGTCAGAAGGGACCTCCCGGGCCATCTAGTCTGACCCCTGGCTCCGCTCACAACATGCCCACCATGATTCAAATCTAGTCTTACTGGCTAGTGATTTAAATTAATTCCACCCTGTTCACAGACATATCCAACAACCTAACTGGGTTGGTTTTGTTTCTTTGTCCGGGGGGTGGGGTGGAGGGTACAGAATCAAAATGAAGTATTTGTGTGTGTGGTGGGGGGATGTGAAGCAAGATGGGTAAATCAGTCAGTAAAGAGCACTGTAAATAAGAGCAATTCCCTTACCTGAAGCAAGGAAAGTCTGAGAATACCTGAGATTTTTCCCAGGCACGCACTGTCCGCAGAACTAAAAGATGAAAAGATAGAACAGAAACCTTATGAGACACCATGACCTAGTACAACCAACCTCTAACACACAAGGAGGTTACACTGGAACAGGGTTAAACAACCTTTTGGAGCCAGGGAGGCAGTTGGAAGTTTGAGAAAATGTTCTGGGAACCACCAGCAGTGGCATGACAAAGGGCAAACAACCTACCCCAAAGTTAGAATACAAGGTAGAGGTGAGGTTTGAGATCCAGCACAACAAACACTTTCACTTTGAATCGACCGTATTCAGTAATGCAGCAATCTTAGGTGCCAGGAGAGATTTTTTTCATGGGACCATGAGACCCATCCACTGACTCTGGTACAAAAGACACAGGCTTGGAATTAAAACATCCTGAGCCTGGATATTTATTTTGCTTGCCTCCCAGTCCTTCAACACCAAAATCCACTTCTGTTTACCCCACACTTTTTACTTCAGCACTCTACTTTATGGTAGGCAGGCAGAGAGTCAAACTCTTGCTGCTGCAATATGGTAGTAAAATTTACTAAAATGGCAGTAAAATCTCTTTACCAACCTACTGAAAATTACCCAGAACTCTATCTTCATTCTTGTTTCCTTTAGCACACAGACAGGTTCTCTTATGTCTACTTATATAGCACCAAGAATTATCAAACAGGACAGAACTTAATCCCAAGAAAACTTAAGCACAACTGCTGAGGTACACCAGGAAGATGTACGGCCACATGGGAAATACTTGAGGTAGTATGGGATACCCAATGGCCTCTGTTTCAAATACTAAACCCCATCTCTTTATTTGGAAAGTGTGGATAGTCAATTTTATTTACATAAACAGATGAACTGGGTTAAAGATGGCCTCAAATGCAGCAAGTCTGGCTTGCCACATTCAACATGGAGAGCTCCATATTGCCAGCTGACATGAGTGTGCTCATTAAGTTCACAGTATAAAATTACCCACAGAGAATACCTCCTCCTCAAGATAAGGTAGAGAACTAACAGCACAAGCCACCGCTGTTGTGCCTGGTGCCTGCCACACCCCACTAAAAAACACCCCTGAGAAATGTGGAACATTGTCTCGAAAACACACTTTTTAAACAAACAGATACTGCAAGCCTATATACTGCACGTCATGCAGATGTAGTACCCAAACCCTAATTTACAGAGCTGCAAAATTCACTACACACATGAGCAAATTGTGCACGGAAACATAGTTGGGTTCAAAATACAACCAGACAGACACAGTTGAATAGTAACATGTGCTAAAATAACATCTTATATTTTATGAATTGCTGTACACCACTAAGAAAGCTTTGGATATTGAGTGGTATAGAAATAAAATCAATAATAATAATCTTAAATCAAACAGCAAGGAATGCACAACATGGAAAGGGTCAGAAGTGGGGCAAAATTTTTAAAGAGAATCAAGCATAGACAATGGTGAGAAAAACGGAGATAAAATAGAGGAAATATTCAGAAGACAAGTACATATGCACAGGAAGAAGAGCATAAAGTCAAGGATATAAATGGGGGGAGGAGGAGGCCTTATCAACAGCTGTCAGCCAAGATAGCCAGATTGCCATCTTTCGAGGCAGCACATCTCTTTGAAAAGCAGCAGCAACATAATATTAATATATTTAATTATTTGTAACCTGCTTTTCAGGAAACGCTGCTTTTATGGGAAGGGGGCAGGACTTCTATTGAGAACTTCGGCTATTGGGTGGTATAAAAAACAAACAACGATGGTGGATGATGGGCTATAGGTACGATTTCGCCAGATTTGTCTTACTGGCCAGATTCAATGCCAGCAGCAAGCTCAGCGTTGAAAACATGCAAAGAAAATTACTGCTATTACTACCGAACCCCCTGAGCATGTGCTGACCGCTGTTTTTCCTTCTCCAAAACTAGCTCAGCCGTCCCTAGCATTAGGGTCACTTCATGGGCTTCTGTCACCGGAGAAGTTTCGTTGTTCGTTCGTTTGTTCTTCAGTACCGTCTGTCTACGCACGGGGAGCAAGGGGTGAGGGAGGAGAAAAGGATAGGGAGGAAACGGGGATCCTGAAGAGGCAGAAGGAACAGCGGGGAAAATAGAAATAATAGCAACAACAGCAACTAAAAATCTATCAAGGATATTCGCAGGGCGAATTCGCAGGGCGAAGAGGAAGGAAAGGCCCCCTCAAGGCGCTAGTCCCTCGCCTCCCTTACTTCCTGAGGCAGGCAACGGGCGTCGTCCCCAGAGGCCCCTGCCGGGTCTCCCCTCAGCACGTTCCACCTCGGCCACATCTCGCCGCCGCTCGCCCTCAACCCGCCGAGGCGGCAGGCAGGCAGGCAGGCAGGCAGGCAGGCAGGCAGGCAGGCAAGCCGTGCGACACACCTCCGCAGCACGAGGCCGGCAGCAGGCGCGGCGCCTCAAACGGCGATGTGGGCGGAGCCGAGCAGCCCAAGGGGCGGGGCGCCGGATGAATATTTACAGCCTCGCCTCGGCTCAGCCCGGGGGTTGCCATGGAGACCGGGGCGAACGGGGCTGCCTCGTGGAGCCCGCGGCCAGCGCGCGAAAACGTCTCCTGCTGCGGGAGGGATCGCGCGCCTCGTTCCGCCCGCGACTGCTGGATCCGTGAGTGCTTACTTGGAAGCGGACCCCGCAGTTGGATCGCTCCCAAAGCGCAAGAAAGGATCCCAGAATGGTGGTCCTCCTCCCTTTCTTATTTCTTCTTGGAAGCCTCATTTCCCAGCACACCAAACTCCCACTCTTGGTATCCATTTCACATTGCAGTTACTGATAAAGGCAGTTATTTTGCACTAAATAGGGTTGGACATTTCTCCGGGGTTAGGGAAACCTAGGGAAAACCTTGTCTTATGCGAATGGGGCGGCATATAAGTTCTCCAAATAAAAATAAATAAAGGTTTAATGAGAAGAAAGGGAGACTTTAAGGGACAATCCTATGCATGCTGGGCTGCAATGCCCAGCATGTCCCAGTTCGCCAGCTTGTGACCTTGAAACTGAACTGCCCCTTATTTTATTATTTAATAGCAAATCGCCTAGTCTGTACAGGCATTGGAGGAGCATTCCTTGCCTCCTTAGACATCGTGTGGGGGGACATAGGGTAGCGTAGATTCCAGCTGTGAGATCTGGGTGGAATCAGAACACTCTCCTGGGCAAGCTGGTGGGGCAAAAAACAAAACAGAAAAGCACGCTGGCTGTGGGAAAGTGTCTGGAGGGTGTCAAAGGGCCTGGCTCAGGGGAGGAGATAGGATAGCCTGAAAGCACTGTGAAAGTTAAAACCCGTGGCACCATCAGAACAGGAATTTGGAACAGAAGTCTAGAGCCCCACTCAGCTGAAGGGGCAGGAGGGGCCTCAAAAGCAACTGGGCTGGCTTGTCATATTTTGAAGTGAATACACTTTTATTACTGGGGATTAAAACCATTAAGCCCACAGTCTAAAATTACTAAAATAGCTGCCCCAGTATGTTAAAGACAGAGTTCAGACAACCTAGGTTAGGATCTTTCTGTCCCTCTCACACAATATAAATAGGAAAAAACAGGACTGAACAAATTTACAGAGGAAAAATATCAATCAGTGAATATTAACTCAATGATAGCTATGTGGAATCTTCATATTTAGATAGTGTCTCTCTGAATGCTGCTGACAACACACTACAGAGAGTGACTGTCCCGTTCCTGCTTGCCTTGTTATCTTTCAGAGACATCTGCTTGGTTTATGTTGAAAACAAAATGCTGGATTAGATGGACCTTTAGCCTGATCTGTTCCCATATCCCTGAACAAATTGACCCTGGCAACCCAGTTTGGTCTCTGCGGAAAGACTACATTTCCCATAAACCTCTTCTGCGCCGTGTGTTTCTGTATGTGGGAAGGATGTGAGATATTGGGTCATTTCCGGCAAGGAAATTATACGGAGCCGGGTGTCTGCGCTCCACATCTTTTCCCCTTCCGTAAATGTTGACCAGCTTGCAGCCGCTGCTAAAGAAGATTGCACCGCGTGTTTGGTAGTAGTAGAGAGGATGTACGCGTACCCAGGAGTAAGTACTACTGGGTTCCAGTAAGTGTACCATAAGATTGTGTTTTTGGGGTAGCTCATTGCCCTCACTGGAAATGTACGGGGTTAGATTCTCCCGTCACACCATCGCACCCACCTCTCAGGCACCTTAGGAAATCTTGCCATGTGTTCTGATGGTTCCTATTTATTTAAACAGGGATCGTAGGTAATTCTTGAGGAGCATGCAGGCACATAATATACTTGGGGGAGAAAAATACCAAGGGAGAAAGTAACATCAACGGCCTCCTTTTGAAGGGCACTGTTACACTAGAGTAAGCTGATCTGCAGGTCATACTTTAAATGCGCATGTTATGATCCATGCATACTTCTCTGGGAATAAACCCCAATGAATTCAGTGGAGCTGATTAAACTTATACAGGACAAGGTTACCATCAGCACATTTTCTAGCTCAGTGGCACTTCTAAGTAAATGTGCAACAGGCAGTTAAGATTCCTTGAGGATAAGCCAACGCACACACACCAATCTTCATTTGGCCTGATGTTTCAGCTCCTCTGCATTTCAAGATTTGTGTATCAGACTTGGGTTGACAATACAGTTATGGTATAAATAGGGCATCTTGCTTTAAGGAGGGGGCATATCAATGGTGGGATCTTCTTCAGTGGGACTGAGTTGATTTTGCTTCCAAATAAAGGCTGCCTTCAGACAAAATGTCTCCGGCCGCCCCCTTCATTATCATTGGGCCTAAGGGGGCTTATTCATCCATGATGGCAGTGCTTCAACAAATGCTAAGCAGCGGGCTTAGTTACGCCTTCAGTTTCCCACAGTGCTGCATCAGGATTTAGCTGTCTGCCCGTGCTGAAAAGAAATGTTAAGAGGATAGCCAGGACAAGTATTGGTAGTGGATCCTGCCAGGACTCTGGGGTCCAAGAATGTCAGACCCTGTTATCAACCCTGTTCAAAATTTAAAGACATTTTAGACTAACCATGGTGGTGAATGGCTCTGGCTACTGGGAAATCAGACATTCTTCCTATCTATTTAATAGGGAGACAGTCCATTGTATCACCTGACAGTGGTATCAGTGGAACTTCCTTCTGACTAGACATGCATAGGATTATGGATTAAAAATAAGCCTTCCCCCCTCCTTTCCTCAACCTTGTGCCATGATTCCAGGCATCTTTCAGATTTTCTTGTAACATGTGCCTCTAAAACCAAGCCTGAGAATGGAGAGGATTTTTTATTTCACATGTTTAATAGTATCCAGAAGTTAAACATTTTAAAAAATAGTGGCATACAAGATGCTCACTGGTTTAGAAAAGGAATGTGTTTTGAAAGATCTTGCAATGAAAACAAAGTTTATTTTCCTTGACAAAGATTTCAGCATGCCTTGGTTCATCTTCTACTTGGCTTCTTAAAGGACATTATTTACATGTAAATGATCCAGTATGGGGCAACTGTTTTTCTTAAAACATGGGCAAGTAATGTCCTTTCCTGCCCAGAAACACAACTCTGACAAACAAGGATAGAGTAAAAACCAATATGCAGAATTTGGGGTTCAATGTTATCAAAATAGCTTGGTTCCCTGGTCAGAGTGGCTACTTATTTGAGTTATGCTGATCAATACACAGTCCTGTCAGAGGCTCTGGCTTTCTAGGAGGAGTAGGACTTCCGAGGTATCACACCATTTGCCAGGTCACAGCGTATTCCCCAGCGCAGGGCAGATCTCTTCTTCTCTGTAGGCACCATATAATTGTTGGGGATATAAATATGCTGAGGTCGAGGAGGCATTTCTGACTTGTAGAGCATCTGCTCCCGGATGCTCCAGCGCACACCCTTCCTCAGATCCTCACCTGGCAGCCGCAGTGTTTCCCAGTCATGCTTATGCTCCAAGTAACGTGCTACCCGATCAGTCTTCATTCTGTTTCGGCTGGGTTGCTCTAGTCTCGGTATTATGAAGGACTTTGGGTGGCCAGCAAGAATCAAGTCCTGCTCATAGGATGTACAGCTCTGGCTCTCCCTTTGAGAGCTCAGGCTCTGGCTCTCATCTGTCGCTCTCCAGGAATAGGGAACCTCAGATTCTGGGGAACTGTTTGGCTCAGTCTCCTCCACAGAGTCTTCCTCTTCCTGCTGGGTATTAAGGTTGTACATTCTCTGACTCAGACCTGCATACTCGGGGTCAACTGGACTGGTTGATTCTGGTTCACTGATGACTGACTCATCTGTCACCTGCACTTCTCCATCAGGCCTTCGCCTAAGTACCTTCCTTTTCATCACAGGTTTCCTAGAAACTCTAGAATCCTTAGGAGTCTCCGACTGCAAGTTAGTTTGTGTTGGAAGATGCTTGACCATCACAGGAAGTGTGGGTCTGGCCACAGAGGCCACTGAGGCTTTTGTGTAGGGGTCTGCCTGATGGGTGATAAGAGGCTGCCTTGGGCTGTCTCCATCTCCCCATTCAGCACAAAGGCGAATAAAGGCCTTTGCCACTTCTTTGAGCGAATCTTCATGCTCCATAGAAGACCACTGGTACCGGCTGGGTTTCATCAGGGCTTCCATTACTTCTTATAATTACTCATTCTAAAAGAGAGAGATGCAGATTTTCACACAGTGCAGTACAGGTGTCAAGGCAAGCTTAGCTATTACTTTACTTACAGAATAAGTACTACCTACCTTATGTCTGGCAGGAATGTAACTTAGAATTCAATATATTAAAAAAAAAAAAACAGTCCTGGTATAATTCCATTTTTCCCTGCCATTTCTCCAAAGAACATGAGGTCAGTTCTTCTTCATTTGCAAAAAAAAAGTGTTTTCATGTTGTAGATCTTTTCATAGGGATTCTCACTATGGCCAAAGACGGGGAGGAAAGAGAGAAGCTACTGAAGAGGGTCCAGGAGCTGGAAGAGACTGTGCAAAGGCTGGAAGCAAAGCTCTGGGAGAGCAAAGAACCCATACACACTGGAATGAACCTTCCAGCATCAGGAAAACCTAAGAAACGTCTGCAGCGGCCATTTGATTTTAGTGCCTATGACCAGAGACATGTAGCACTTAAGATAGCCTACCTGGGCTGGGGATACCAAGGCTTTGCCAGCCAGGAGAATACCAACAATACTATTGAACAAAAACTGTTTGAAGCTCTTGGCAAAACCCGGTTAGTAGAAAGTAGACAGGCATCCAACTACCATCGCTGTGGGCGCACTGACAAGGGAGTCAGCGCCTTTGGACAGGTAAGTGCAATACCTCTCTGACTTCTGAAGGCAGCATCTGAATTGGAGGGGGACAGAGGGAATCCAGCCCCACTAACTTTTCTGATGGCTCCATCTAGCTTTTAGTAGACTTAAATATGCTGCAAGTCTCTAATAAGAGCCAATGTGGTGTAGTGGTCAAGTGCACAGGACTGGGACTCGGGTGATCGGGGGTTTTAGTCCCCACTCAACCATGGTGCCAACTGGGTGACTTTGGACTCTCAGCCCAAAATATCTCAGAGTTGTAGGGATAAGATTGTGAGAGTAGCAGGAGGAGAATGCTGCAAGCTGCTTCAGAGTTCTTTGATAGAAAACAAGTGGAATAGAAATCTAATAAATAAAATATGATTGGCAAAGCTTGACCTTTCATATGGTGCAAATCTTGTTTGCTTACCTAAAAATGTTAAGATTTATTTGTACACTGGAAAGTCATAGTGCTGCTCATGCAGCATAGTTGTTTGGTGGACCGTTCTGCAACCTGGTGTCTTTCCGGTGTGTTAGGCAACCGCTGCCAGAATCCTCTGGCCAGCACACTGGGTGTTGTGGTGCACACACCAGGAAGGCACCAGATTGGGGAAGGCTGGGTTAGAGTGTTGGGACTGTGACTGGGTTCAAATAGTCACTCAGCTATGAAGCCCAAGGGGCAAATCTGGCTAGTTACTCTCAGCCGAACTCCCCAGAAAGAGACCATCTATGCTACCAAGAGCTCTTTGGAGGAAAGACTGCTGTTACTATAATGATAAGAATGATAAAGTAAACCAAGGCAGTCACACTTTGCTATCACCTCATAATTGATGTTAATAATATTGGAAGCCATGGGGGGAAATAAGGGAACTCAAGTATTCTCTATCAAGAGTTGATGGATCTAACATGTAACTAGTGTCAACCTGGTACATTTTCCTTGAAATCAGTACTCAGAGAACTGAGGAGAATAGCATGTTAAAACTATCATCAAATCAGTTAGGGTCTAAATACTCATCAAGATATACTAAAAACAGACCAGTTTTGCTCAGTCATGGAAGTAAAACAAAAAAACCACAGTACTGCCTTTCTCTGCCTCTCATGTTTCAGGTGATCTCCCTGGATCTACGCTCAAACTTTTCAAAGACTAAACCTGAGGATGCCACAAAAAACAAAGCAACAAAAACTACAGAGGAGATCCACTACACCCACATCTTGAATCAGGTTCTCCCTCCCGATATACGGGTACTGGCCTGGGCCCCAGTGGAACCCAGTTTCAGTGCTAGATTTAGTTGCCTGAAGAGAACCTATCGCTATTTTTTCCCTCAAGCCAATCTGGGTGTATGTCTCATGAATACTGCAGCTCAGAAGTTTGTGGGAACACATGATTTTCGTAATCTGTGCAAGATGGATGTAGCCAATGGTGTGACTAACTTTCAGAGGACAGTTCTTAAAGCAGAGGTACAGCCTGTGGATAAAGAGGCCACTGAGCAACAAAACCCATTCCAAATGTACCAGTTTGAAGTGACAGGCCAGGCATTCCTCTATCACCAAGTCCGCTGCATGATGGCTATCCTGTTCCTGATTGGACAAAGGATGGAGAAGCCAGAAATTATTGATGAGCTGCTGGATATAGAGAAGAACCCTAGAAAACCACAATACAGGTAAGTTTCGGGAAGGGAGTTTTAAATATTCAGATAACTTTGTTATAATTCAGCACATTCTGATGTACAAAAATTAGGATAACTGTATATGAACAAACTAAAGAAGAGCATAGATCCAAAATTGCATGTTGTCTCCTTCATCAATTGCACATTTTTGTTTAGTTTACTATTATGCATGAGAAAACAAACAAAAATCAGCCATGGCGAGATGACTATTTCACATTTATCTGCATGCCAGCAAGGTGCTGTGCAAGACTTGCATCTTCTTTTGGTCCATGTACAGTTCCAAGCCTAACAGGGCTAGCTTGTGGGTGTCTGTTTTTGCATGTGTTCCCCCATTGGATTAAGCCACTTGCATCTAACTCAAGTTTCACTTCTGAACACATTTTCTTCCAGCATGGCAGTGGAATTTCCTCTGGTTCTTTATGATTGTGAATTTGAAAACATCCAGTGGATCTATGATCGCAAAGTTCAGGAGTTTAATGTTACTCACTTTCAGCAGCTTTGGGCTAATCATGCTGTTAAAACCCATATGCTGTACAGCATGTTAAAGGGACTAGATTTTGCCAAGATACCAACAGAGCCAGGTAAGAAAAACAAGTTTTTGTAGGTTTCTAATTGTAATCACTATTGATCAATCAGAGAATGGATCTGAAATGTCCCATAGTCCTTATGTTCTTGGGTCTTAGAACAATTGCTAAGGACAGGATAAACATGCTGGCTTGCTTCTGTTTCTTTTTCGTGAAATAGTGTTTCAATTTCCTTCTGCTCTCTTCCTATCTAGGAACCTCTGTTTTACCCAAGGCAAGAGGCAGATCTGGCTTGTTTTCAGAAAGGAGGGTCACCTGTGCTAACAGTCCCAGAATGCTAAATATAATTTGATACCAGGAAAATTCACCAGTGACTAATTCATTCAGCCTGACACCTCATGGTCATGGCATCTAGTCTGATCTTTGTACTCCCCACCCCCCCAAATCTACTTTTTGTGTCATCTAGTGTTTGCAAGAACTTGAAAGTTTACCTATATACTTTGCTGGCATTTTGGTTGGTCCTAAGAAGGTTATTGTCCAATTCATTTAGTTTTTCTCATGGATCGACACAGCTAGCTTTTGCATGTTATGCATAACCTGACATTATTCTGACACTCATCATTGTTTATAGATTCAAGGAACAACACAACAGTTCTCTGGAGAGAAATAACACCCCCCATCCACAATCAAATCAGTGCTTTAATTGAAGGTGTGAAAGCTCGCAACTACAAACCATTAATGGACCGCCCCAAATGTGAAGGTTTGGAGTCTCGCATCAGTCATTTTGTGCGCAGAGGACGTATTGAGCATCCACACATTAAAAAAGAGAAACACTCTGAAATGGAAATAGATGAGAAGATGGAACTGAAGAGCAACCATGGGGATACTCCAGAAGCAGAGAATAAAGTTCCAGAACAAGCTGCAAAGAGGCTCTGCATGAGTACTGATTGAAGTTTCCAGATTGTATCGAGCTATCTCCAAGCAGACACAATGCTTGTTTTGACAAGTTTTTTTTAATATTAAACTTTTTTCATTTAAGTAGTAAACTATAGAATTGTGTAACAGATGTCTAGTAGTTTAAGAAGTGTTAACACAATGCCATACTGGCTCTGCATGCAGCCTTTTCCTATTCCTGTGTAAATGTAAAGAATCGAAGGGTACAATCTTACACATGTTTAGATAGGAAAAAACTACAAACATGCATAGGATTGTACACAGTTTTAATCATTCACTGCAATGGGTCTTCTCTAAGTAAGAAAAACAAAACAACAGAGGGTATCTCCATTGACAAAAGCAAAGCAATCAAGTACAGTTTTATGTAGCTTTTTGGCAACAACTAAGCACAAGAGAGTTCATAAACAGAGTTTCTGGCGACTGGTAGTTGCTTGAGGTTAGGATTCAGGGGCTTCTAAGCACCTTTCATGAGACTCCACTTCTTGCAGAATAGAGGCAATGAAAGCAAAAAGCCATAAGAACTCGAACTAATCACAACTTAGCAAATAAAAACAAGCAGTTTTATACTGCAGATATGCCAGTTTATCAATAGCCTAATTAGGAACTGTAAAGGGTTATTTTTGCTGACATGTGCAAGAGAGATGAGAGTGTCAAATCCCAGCCCTTCCTTCATCAAATTTGGTACTATAGTGTCCCTTTGTGTTCCATCCCTTTCTCTCTGGTGCAGAACTCTAGAGTACCTCATTCTGCACCTGTCCTGGGTGCCACAATACTTTTTCCTGTAATAGAGTAACTCAGTACATAGTAAAAACCTAGAACTAGTACATGAAGAATTTGTTAAAAAAGTGAAGACTATTATTCCCTACTGAATGCACGAGCAAATCAAGCACCATTATTTATCCTGTGCCTACAAGAGTAGCGCACATGCTCTGTATACAAAAGGTTCCAAGTGTGATCACTAGCATCTCAGCTTAAAAGGTTCTTGGGTGGCAGATGCTGAGAAGAATGGAAAACTGCTGATAGTCAAAGCTGGATTACACAGACCAATAGTTCGAATCAATGTGTATTTTGGTTTTACATTCTATCATTTGTATTTCCTGCAGTCTGCATCAAGCACATTTCAGGCTAGAAAGGAAGAAAACAAATCTTACTGAGCTAAGAGCAGAGACATCACTTCCATTTTTGTTTCAAAAACAGCCCTGCAAGGTAAGATAAGAGTTGAAAGTGACTAGCGTAAAGTCAACCAGTAACTTGACTTAAATGGTATTTGAGCCTGGAATACCTAGCCCAAACCACTACACTGATTTTGAGCTCTTCTCTCTCTTCCCATCTTTGAGAAATGTTAGTGACCAAAACATGGTGAATAACCATAACCCCATCACTTACTTGCACAGGAAATACTGTAGACACTATGGTGTGATGGGTAGAGCAACTTGTCCAGGCCCAGATTCAAATTCCCACTCAGCCCTGAGGTTCAGCAGTGTAGTGATTACAGTGATGGACTGGGACTCTAGTCCTCACTTGGCCATGAAGTTAACCGATTCCCAACCTGGCCTACCACACAGGGGTGTTGTGAATATAAATAAATCGAATTAGGTAAGCTCCCTATGCCTTGGACGCGGGGGAAAATTACACAAATTGGGCCAGCCACTTATCTCTACACCTCCAGATAGCTTGGATTGCAAGTTCTATCATCCCGAGGAATGCAATCCATCCATTTGGAAGCCGCCAAGCTAGCACAACTTGAAAGGCCATCGAGAGTGAAATGTGGTGGATGCGAGCGGGGGTCGTGGGGAAAGAGAGCGAGCCATGCCCACGGCCGCCTGCTCCTCCTCGCGAGGAAAGGCGGCTTCGAGCGCCCCATCGGTTCGCCTGCATTCGGAGCTGCCGCGGCCGAAGAGGCCGCATCCGCCTCGTCTGGAGGTGCGCGCAGACCGTCTGCCTGCCGCCTTCCCTCCCCGCCGAGTCCGGCCCGCGCCCCCACAGCGAATACCTGGCCGGGACCCGCTCGGCTCCCCCTGCTCTCCCGTAGCGGCTGTTACCTGACGTTTCAACGGCCGGGCGTTTAAACAGGCAAAAGGGGATAGGCCCCTCCCGTCCCCTCACCTCCATCCGCCTACTCCCATTGGTCTAAGCCTCAATTGTCCTGCCTTTTTTCATTGGAGTGCCTGCCCGTCCCAGAGCCACATTCCACGCGAGCTATTGGATGCTGTTGGTTGGGGGGGGGGTAGCTCGCACCGTCGTCTCACTGGAGAAAAAGGCGTCTGTCAGAGGGACTTTACTGCCTTCGAAAAAAAAGATTGGCTCCGGTTGGTTGGAGCACTCTTGACGTCCCGCCTCCTTCTCTTGCGCCTTGGCGCCGGGGCAGCCCGCGAGCGAGAGGAGGAGGGCGTTGCGGAGGTCCTGCCCACGGCTGAGCTTCGCTTGACATCGACGCGCGCTGAATAAAATGGCCGCTCGGAGCGGGGTCCGCCTCCTGGGCTTTGTGCGGTTGGGGCCCGCACGGCGGTCTTTCTCGCGCGCCCCGGCCTTGGCTGCCCCTCCCACCGCCGAGCAGCTGGCGGAGAAAATGCGGGCCCAGAAGCGGGAGCAGCAGAACGCGCAGAAGCAGGTAAGTCCGTTGGGACTGGCGGTTGGCTGGTGTGCTCAGCCAGGACCTCATTTCCCGGCATCCATCGTGACCGGAGGACTACATATCCCGGCATGTATTGGCCCTTGGGAGCCCTTTAAACGGCTGGGTTGACAGCCATGTGCTGTGTTAAAACTTACTGTTGCAAACTTGTGGAACGTCTTAGTAATTCACAAGCATTATCAACCGGTTTTTGTCCTATAAATTTGGAAGAAATGATAAATCATAGTTTCATTTTGGGGACTTAGAAAACTGTCATACTGATTTAAAGCCTAACCTTAATGCTTGGCCCAGTTAGCACAACCTTGTCTATTACGGTTGGTAACAACTCGCCGGGGTCTTTGACAGCGAAAGGTGCTTGGCGACACCAGCTCCCTGAGCCTTTTACTTGGATCCCAAGAACATGGGATTCTCGGGCGGGAGGTGGGATGTTAGCAAGGAATGCATTTATGCACTTCTGTTTAGTGCGTCACCTGCAGACTTTTTTCACTGGTTTTGTTTTGGCAGCAATTATCCATGCCCAATTATGCTTTCTAAGACTGGAGAGTGTTTGCAGTCTAATGCTTGTGGGGGTACCTGCTTGGTTGCCATTTATACTATATCTGTCTGGGATTTCAGGCAACATTTTTTCCTGGTCTCAGCTGAACCTGGATACTTCTGCATATATTCCTTATGATATTGCCTGGGGTAGGATATCATTTCTTCCCATAATCAGTCTTCCTTAGGTCACTGAGGATAATGATTTTCCTCCAATCTTTACATTTATGTTGGAAATTGAATGGCCAGTGCCTAGCCTCCTTTTCAGGCATCCATGCAACAAAAATGTAGGTTACCAGAAATTTCCAAAATTGGTGCAAATGAGCACACTGTGGTTTACTTCTTTGCTTCCAGGCGGCAACCTCTGATTGACCATTTGTAGTTAGTTTAATGTCTGAACCCAGATAAGCAGAGTTGTTTTGAGGTTAAACAGCCCTAACAATAGGTTGATGACTGAAAACAAGTGGGGAGTACACCGGAGCAATGTGCTTAATTGTTCGCTCCCTAATAGCCTATTATGGTTTCTTTTCTTTCTCTGTCATCAAAAAACCCCCTACATTCTTAGATTGCATTTTGCATGTCACAGTGCTTTTAAAAAACACGGTATGGTTATAAAAGTTGTGCAATGAAAGTTCTGGCTAACCTCCTTATCCCTTGCTTTTTGACTTTTCAAAGATTCCAAAAGACAGTGTACAGAGGCGTGTCCAAGAACTTGCTCAGCTAACTGAGCAGTTGAAGCGGGTTCATCCTAATGTGCTGGCCAAGGCACTCAAACGGGGGCTCCTCTACCAGGATGAAAACATTGTGGTGATCAACAAACCTTATGGTATCCCCGTTCATGGTGAGCAGATTGCCATGTTACTAACTTGTTGTTGTTATTGTTGTTGTTACTAATGGATGGTCATAACAGTGGGCAGTAGTTGTTCAGCAAGGGTATTGATTCTTAGGCCTGGAAGCCAAATCCTGCCCCTGAGATTCTCCAAAAAGCTGTGCCCCTTTCGGATGGCAACACCTGCTGTCCCTCAACCAAAAGTATGATTGATCCATTCTAAAAGGTTAAGATACATCTTCTAAAGTGTAGTCTTTTACAGGGTTGTTTTATTTGTTTATTTATTATTTTTGTGCATGTATGCTGCCTACTGTCCTGCTGACAGGAATCTCTGTATTTTTATTTTTCATTGTGTGTAGCTTTTTTAATTTGTGTTTTATGGCAATTTATTGCAAATTATTGTATTTTTGTACTGGTGCAAACTGCTCAGAAAGCTTCACCTGTTCCATGGTATATAAATGAAATTCATGATAATGATTAATCATGACCATATTAGCAGTAGTAGCTCTAAGCAAAGCTATACTGATATTTTGGAATTTTGGCTCTTGAGCTGAGAGAGGGTCAACACCCCTGTTGTACAGGTCCTGCTAACTACCCAGACTGTGATGCATCTCTTTCCAAAGCCTCTATTGGCTTGTGCAGCTGTCCCAGAAACACAAGGTATGGCCTAGTGAATATCAGTATCCAAGCGATATTCTGAAGTAGCATGCCTCTGATGATCAGATGTTGGAGACAAGCAACAGGGTGGTTTCTCCATCTTTCTCTCCTTGTATAATTCCCAGCTTGCCAAAATAGTTGGATTCCTGGCTTGATCCCGCACAGAGAGCTTCTAGCAATGAGTACAGCATTCAGATATTGTAACTGAATCTCAAAATTTCTCTGGGCAGAGACTACCTCCACTTTGTTGCATGTGCTGTGCCGACCAGTCCTGCATATATGTTGTTTCACTGGCCTAAGGTCTTCAGTCCTCCTAAGCAGCTGGAAAAGTCAGTGCTTCAGAGGCAGCAGCTACAGCACAGGGTGGTCTGGTTGTCCTCTGGTCAGGGATGGAGAATTCGCCACCCCCGCAGCAGTGTTATTAGCTGTGACATCCATAATCTGGGAGACAGTGTGATACAGTGCTTAGAGTACTGGACTGAAACTCAGGAGACATGGGTTCTTGTGAACCCTTTGTTGTAAGGCTCACTGAATGGCCTGAGGTCAGCCATTAACTCTCAGTTGAACCTACCCCACGTGGTGGTAGTGAGAATAAAACTGAGACGAGGAGGAGGAGGATTGTGTGTGTGCGCTTGGTCTACTTGAAAGAAAGGCAAATATAAAGGTAGCAAATAATCCCTCACACTTGGCTATAGTGGCATAGGCAGGGGGGAAATTGCAGTCCACCAACATCTGGATTGCTACACAATCCCCATCCTGCTAGGCAAAATACCAAAGGAGAGCGAAGCAGGTGTACAACTTACTGTTGATCGATCCCAGCCAGGGTCGCTTTTTCTGCATCATGTGCCTTGGTATTGGGGCTGCAGCCTGGAGGACTTTACTTGTCGCAGCCAGTAAAGTTAGGCAAATGCCCCATTGCACGATGCTCCACATCACAATTGCATAGTCATCCTGATGCTGACACCTAGCCATTTCTCAGAGTAACTTGGTGGATTGATGCAGGCATCTGTGCTGTGGGATAATTTATTTATTTAAAACATTTCTATGCTGCCCCCATCGCAACAAAGCCTCAGGGTGGCTCACAAAGAATACATAAAAACACACATAAATAACAACAATATAACAATTAAAAAAACATTTAAAAAAAACATTTAAATCATCATTCTTTCCAGTCTATGATGCATCAAAGTTTTCATAAGTCCTAGAGCAGCTGCTTTGGGGAAGGAAATATCTTTGGAAATTATACAATCAGGTCTATTTCGGCCTTCCTCCTAGGTGGTCCCAGGGTCAAGAGGTGCATCTCAGATGTGCTGCCGATCCTGGCAAAGATGTTGGATGGCATGAAAGCCGAGCCCCTGCACCTGTGTCACCGGCTGGACAAAGAGACCACGGGGGTGATGGTGCTTGCCCGGGACCAGGGCACTGCACACCAAGTCCAGGAGATTTTCAGAACTCGACAAGTGGAGAAGAAGTACTGGTATGAGACTGTCAGTCAGCTACTTTTTATTTGTGCCAGCTTCACAAGGAGCTTTCACGTTTGATAAACCAAGGGTCTTTGCAGGCAGGGGGTGGGGGGAGCTTAGTATCCTATGATCTTCTTAGAAGAAACAGTGATGGCCATAGCAGAGGACTTGAAATGTGATACTGCTCAACTTTGCAGGGCAATCTGTATTGGACAACCAGACCCATCAGAGGGGCTGGTGGAAATTCCCATTGTGGAGAAAGAAGTGAAGAGCCAGCAGAAGCACCATAAGGTGAGTCTGTTTCCTGTCAGTGGCAATTTGCCCGTTCAAGCCACCCTATTGCACAGAAGGGTGTTCTGCTGTTTTCCATGCCTTCCCAGCATCAAGGCAAACATGTTATTGAAGTGGTAATACCTGAAGAGTCCAGAGCTGAAGTAGCTCTTCAGATCCAGAAAACAGCCGCTGTAGGAATTGGTGCACGGCTTTTGAGCACTTTCCATCCCTCATGCTAGCATACTTGCTCCACTTGGTCCTCTTTGGCTTTTTGGAACTGCAGTGCCCATTATCCTCATCTAGCAGGGCCAGTGGTTAGGGATGCGGGGACCATAGTCCAAAAACTTCTAGAGGGTAATAGGTTGGGACAGATTGGTCTAAAGCTGGTCTCTACCACTAGCAACATCATATGGGAGAGCAGATATTCACTGCTGCAGAGGGAACCACCTAGGCTGACCTAGGCTGTCGTTATTTGCTTTTCAGCACCAGGCCAAGACCTTTTTATTTAAACATCATTTTAATTGTTGATATTTATTGATTTTAATAACTTTGGCCAGGATGTCTCCAATTTTATATTTAATTGTGTTGACGATTTTATTTATGTTTGTAAGCAGCCCTGAGGCTTTGGCGAATGGGGCGGCATGTAAGTTTGCTAGCTAGCTAGCTAAATAAAATAAAACAAAACCAAACCACCTCTTGTGTTGGTTTTATTGTCCCAAATGAGTGAGGCTTGACTGTTTAACACAGGTGCACACACAGCAAGCAATGCATTGGCAATGCAGGAAAGCCTGTGTCCAGGCTGGCATGATCTGCCACCCAAGGAACAAGGCAGTCTCCCCTACCTCTGCTAATTGCCACTCTGTCATTCTCGCTACCTGTCCAGTATTCTTAGCAATGAGAAGCCAAGGTTGAGTTGTGCGCCTCTGCCTGTCATGCTGCTTCTTGTTTCTATTTGGCTTAGATGACACTTGCTCCAAACTATCGCATATCCGATGAGGATGGGAAAGTGTTCAAAGTGCGCAAACACAGAGATGCCCACGTGGCTGTGACCAAGTACAAAGTGCTGAGCAGCTATACTACTTGTTCCTTACTGGAATTGCAGCCAGTCACAGGTAATGCCTCACATCCATCCCTTTTAGTATCTCAAATTGGCAACCTTGTTTTTTCACGCAGTTTCTTCAGAGGTATCTGAAACAGTACAAGGGATGTGGGTATCCAATACCAACAGACTGCCTGAAGATCTCGGGAACCGATAGTTCTAATCCCAGTTGGACTCTCTTTACTGCTTGTTCTCTAATGTGGCAGATCAAATTCGGCCAAGCCGATGTTTTCTGGTGGAGTTCCCAATAGTATTTTTCTCTTCTAGATGCATTTTCCCCTCCTGTTGCCTGCTTTTCTCTGCTAGAGTTTGTCTTAACCAGTGAAAGCTCATGTTTTCCCTAGAGGCAGCCTGCGTGTGGAACTCCACCTGGGCAGCTAATTTTGCCAAGAATGAGGAAACAGGTATATGTTGTGGCTATATTTAAGATGTGTGTGCATGTTTTGATTTTTTTCTCCCATCTTTCCCCTTCCCCTATATGAAGGAGTGAAGCACCAGCTGAGAGTCCATTTGGCCTACGGCATCGGCTGTCCTGTACTTGGGGATCACAAATACTCCCACTGGAGCAAGCTGGCACCACAGGTGAGGAGGGCATGGTGCAAGGAGTTGACAGGTGTGACACTGGCCTTTATTGTAAGAAGGCGGTAGGCCGCAGTTTTATGTCCCAGGTTTCAGTGGAAGTCTGGTTGTGATTGCTTGGCATAAGCCTGGCCCATTGGTCAGTTCCCCCATGCTCAAATCTTGTGGCCGGCTACCTACTTAACACACCTTCCTTTAAAATGTTCTTTTGTCATTTAATAATCAGGTATTTTACTTTTTGATCTGTGAGTCAAAATGAGCTTGTACCAGTGAAACACGAACCTTGTTGGTCATTTTAGATGTGCTTATTGAATGCTGGATGCTGAAGCCTCTGGAGCTTCTATAACTAAGTGAACACGTATTGATCAGTTTGGAGAGGGGCCAATATCTGGTGGGCCAGAACTTGTCCATGCCTTGTATCACCAGCATCACTATTACAAACCATTTACAGAGTTAAACTGATAGGCAGTAGGCTGCAAAGTTTTTTTCAGATAAGGAAACATACTTTTGTAGTAGTTACACACACCGTTCCTTTTCTGTTACCTTGGCAGTAAGCAAAACCCTCTTCATAATTAGAAAAGGCTTTCCATTACTTTCATATATTGAAGAGAAGCTATGGCCAAGTGCATACAGTACATTCAGCAGACCACTGCCTCACACATCCATGTAAAACTTTCAAGCATGTTTTGGGCATTGCTCTTTTTTCCAGTTGTTAACCATGAAGCTTTATACCTAAAGTGTTTACCACCGATAATTCTCAAACTATCAATGCAGAGGCAAGAACAGATGGTGGTCAATTAAGAAGTGTGTGTGTTTAGCCCACCTGTTGATCAGTTTCTAAAACAACACCTCTCAAAAACAGTGAGAATAACAGATGAGCTTTGTGTGATTTTTTTCCATATGAGGAGTGTCTCACCTCACAACTTGTAGACCCTTTACTTGTCTATTCCCTCACTTCTCTGTGGTCCAATGTGACCAAAAGAGAACCTTGTATTGGGTCTACCATAATGGGGGATCTTGCTTGCTGTCACTGCTCAGTAAGTGCGGTGTTGCAGTTACAGTGCTGCACTGCAAACCTGGGAATTCCGGATTCCAGTCCTCACTTGGCCATGAAGCTCACCAGAAGACTCTGGGCCAGTCATTTACTCTCAATCTAACCTACCTCACAGGGTTGCTGGTTTGAAGATAAAGGGAGTTGTATAATCCACACTGGATTCCTAACAAGAGGGAAAAAAGGTGGGATATAATTGCAATATAATGAGTCCTACTTTTCCCCTCTTCCTTTTTTGCAGAAGCTTCCCGTAGGGACATTGAAGAGACTAGGCTTGGAACAAACCAAAGCCCGCCATCTTCCCCTGCACCTCCATGCTTGCCAGCTCATCCTGCCAGATCTCAATGGCAATGGGGAGAAGAAAATCAATTTGGTTTGTAAGCCACCGCTCTTCTTCTTACGCTCCTTGAAGCGACTAAAGCTGAAGCATCCTCGGCTGGAGGAACAGTGAGCAAAGATGGTGGTAGCTAAAACTGCTTTGCTGAAGAAACATTTTACTATGGTCCTTGTGGTACTGGGGCTTCCACAATAGGGTAGAGCACTCTGGACCTCAGGGTAGCCAAGTGCAATGGAGATCTGTTTTTCTTGGGAAGCTTGCAGCCCTCTGGAGAACCTTCATGGCCCTGGCAGCTGAAAACAGCACTGACAGTGAAGATGAGGATCTCCAAGACCTATCTTTTGAGTCTGAGATAAAACATGACAACTTTGACTGCAAGATTGTGCAAGCCAAGTTACATCACTTGGTTACTGAAACAATGCTTATTTGTAAAGTGTTTCGGCTTGGGAACCAAGAGGCATCAGAAAGCATGTCAAACAAACTGCTGTTCTGCTGAAATAACAACAGTAACAACAATAACTTGATCTGCACGAAATGGATGTCACCTAACTGGAGCAGGGATTATTTTCTTTACAGCTAAGAGGCAGCCAGGTGCTCCACACAGCCAGGATTGTGTAGTGCATCCTTCCCTCCACCTGGTGACTGTCAGACAGGCGTGGCTGCAGTGCCCAGCCTTGGCAGCCAGCACCAGGCTGGGGAGAGACTGAGCTGTGAATCAGGGAGCCCCTGGTTGGAGTTGTGCCTCTTCGTTGAACTCCCAAGATCTGAAATGCCAGTCTCTCCTAGCCAACATTATCATCACCCCACACCCAGTCTGCACCATTCATTTCTATCATGGGGATAATAACCCTGATGTGCCTCCAGAAATTAATGCACACCAAATGGGCCAGCAAGGTTTGCTGCAATAAGCTGCCCTTGCCGTTATGGTTACATTGCACCGTGTAAGACAGACGTTGAGTCCTGGCAGTGTGTGCATACGGTCAAAACAAACAGCGCGTTGCTCCCTTGTTGCAGTGTGTGCTTGTATTCAGGTGGATCTGCTACTCTGCAGAATGTGTTGTGGTTCACTTAAACAGGGGAAGGGTGGCCACACCCAGTACAACAGGGAGATTGGCTGCTTCATGATTCCTGCATTGCCCCAGAAGCCGTCACTTGATTCAATACATTTTTTTTGTTTTAATAATTATTTAAAGTATTCTAATAAACGTATCTTAAGCATTTTTACTAAACCAGCTTTCTGGATCAAGTATTATGCAGGGTGAATTTATCAGAAAAAATGTCGGACCCTACTGCGGGAACACTGGCAGTATGGCTACTTTTGGCTTACATATAGGAAGGGGTGAGAGACCTTCCTAGCAGCAGTTACTGGCATAATTTTGTGGGTTTGGGGGTGGGGGGGACAGCTGCCAAATCCTGCAGTTCCAGTTGACATTATTGTAGAATCCTCTGTTCTTTAATGGAAGTAGCTATTATTCTTGAGATACATTTTTTTCAGGGCGTTCCTATTCATGTTTTGACTGATAGTTTAAGAAACATTGTCTCCCAGTGTCTATGCCTCCTCAAAACAGACTGTGCCACTGGGGGCTATTACACCAAGTTCCTGTGAGGACATGATTCCACTGCTACCCATATATTTTAATATGGTATTGGGGACAGAGTGCAACACCCTAAAAGGCTTAGCTTTAAGATAACATGGACAGGCATTCTTCAGTCTGTGCGTTACAACATAAAAGAGCCCAGGAAAGGACAAAGAATGGCTGGGGGCTGCATTGGTGAACTAAGACGTGTCGGAGCATTGCAGGAGCAGAAGATTCAGTCGCCCACTGAATTGTGCTGCCAACATAGGCTTAAAGGAGCTTTAGTGAATTTTTTTCCCTTCTTAGTTTGGCACCGTAATACTGCGTGGCGAGTTCCTAAAGGACAAAGCAAGGTGATCCCTGCTCATTGCCAGAATCCTGCTGTGCAAATGCTCAACCTGCTATCAGCAGCAGACCTGCAATGACCAAAGCTGAGTTCTCTCAACTATTTTGACTGGAAGTCACAAGTGCAGATACGATGCATCTGGCACTTTAAATCACAGCATCTAGTCTGTATTGGGTGGATTTTGTTGGCAAAGAAGCTGATTTGGACAGGGTGGGTGGCTTGTGGCCTAATTTCAAACGCCCCCTGCAATACAATTAACTCAGATCTGTAAGAGCAGTTTCCCTTTCCCAGTAGAGATGTGGGTTGGGGGGGGGGGGAGAGGAGTGGCTTCACACCCTGCCAGCATGAGGCTGCTAGTAGATTCCTCCCCCTCTCCCCCTGCAGAGAATTCAAACCTTGACAGCAAAATGTTCCCTTCTCCCATGCAGGGATGTTGCTTTAGCTTTGGTACAGGCTGGTGAAGAGCACAGCTAATAAAAGAGCTATAAACTGGAACTTCACAGAGGTTTGAATCTTGTCTCTGCCACCAACTCACTAGGTGCTCTTAATCAATGCACTCCTGGCTTCAGTTGTCCCACCTGAAAAAAAATACCGACCTACTTTGTAGGGTTGTAAGAATTAAAAAATGACAAAGCATGCGAACTGCTTTGAATACTTGAAAGCATGGCTAAGACGTTACACATCTGTATTGCTTAGTGTCTTTGGTTAGCAAAGTTTGGGAGCAACTGCTTTCAAACCATTCTTTCTCTGTGCCTTTGAAATCAATTTCATCTCCCAACTATTTTTGATTTTTGAAGTAAAGTGCTGGAGCTGTGTAGTTCCTGAAATTCCTGCAGGGTGTCTTATTACCATCAAGGATGGAAAAAAAGATTTTAGAATCCCTCCACAGATCCCTCAGGGCTAAAAATACTCTCCAAAGGCAGGTGTTGGAGTGGGAGGATGGCTTCTCACACAGCCCTCTTCTCTGAAAGTGAGAATCAGGATGGGCCCCCAGCCTTTCCTCCACGCACACCCCGGCATCGCTGGGCATGTCCAACGAAGCCCACAGAGCCCCACATCCCCGCAGAGGGTTGCTGAAAATAACATCTGCTTATGAGAGAGGGAGGTAAAACCACAACGACCCAGCCTCGCCTCACTATGCCTGTGGCAGGCTGAGGAACGTGGTGTCCTGGCAATCACAAAATGCAGCAGTGTGTCGCCCTATTTCTGGGCATGATGGTAGTTTGCAGGGAACAGACTGCCTTGTAATTATCCCTTCATTCAGCCAAACAGCCCAGGCTCTTACTCATAACTGTCAGTACTTAATTCTCTGCAAAGAAAGCGTTCAGCTTTTACCAGGCTCAAGAAGTCAAGCTGCCTATTGCCTTGGATGCTGTTTGGAGAGTGAAGATCAGTAGCAGCCTCATCGTTCACCTGTGCTTGGCCCACCCTGAGGAATCATGTCGATTGCCCACACCGCTGGCGAGTACATGCTCTCGGATGCTTTGCTTCCGGATCCAAGTGGTTCCCGGACAAAAGGCCTTCGCTTGGAGCTATCGTGCGACCGCATCATGAAGTTTGTTACAGTGGGACTGCCCCTCTTTTTGGTGTCCTTGGTTTTTGCACGGGAATTTTCCACTGGTAGGTTAGCACAATAGTCCCCGAGACGCTGCAAGGCTCTTCCTTCCCTTTGTTCTGGGGCTGTCACCAAGGGGGGCTTCTTGGAAGCTGCTCCCAGACTTGGGAATGTGCTTCTGAAGGAGGCTGGGCTGGCCACCTTGCTATTGTCTTTCCATTGGCAGGGAAAGGCTTCCTGCCTTGAAAGCTGCTCAGGTTGGTTGGGTGCTTTTTTATTATGTGGTTGCTGAACTGTTGTTTTTTTAACTATGTGTTTAATGGACTAGTTTTATAATTGTTTTCCCAAAGGTTTTTGTTTTGATGCTGGGGTTTGTTAGCATCAAGCTGCTGCAAGCTCCATTTCTTTGGTAAGAAAGTATAAGATCAAGCAACTTAAGGGCTAGGCAACCTGGTGCCCTCCAGATAGTTTAGACTACAACACACATCCACCTCAGTTGATACGGCCAGTAACAAGGGATTGTGGGAGCTGTAGTCCAAAACATCTCGAGGGGCACAAGCTTGCTGACCCCTAAACCAAGGATGGGGACTGTATGTTGGACTGCAATTTCTATGTTCAAGCCAGCATAAACAATGGTGGGGAATGATGGGAGGTAAAGACTCCAATAGTCGGAGAGCTGTGTGTTCCCCATCCCTGCTCTTACGCAGTTCAAAATGGATTTTTCATGGACATTGGATCTGGGAGTTCGCATTAAATATTCTTACCAGGCATAGACAACAGGGCCAGTGATTGAGGATGGTGGGAGTTGTAGTCTGAAACATCTGGTAACAGATATCAAACTGGAGAAGGCTGCAGAAGACAGTCGGAATAGGACCAAGGTGACAGCTCAAGCCTTCACTCTGGGGCTTTGGGCCTGTCACTATTGCTCAGCCTAGCCTCGACTGCAGAGTTGTTGGGAAGAGAAAAGCTGGAGAGAAAAACCCTACATCCCACCATGAGCAGCTTAGGAAGATAGAATATAACTTAGAAAAGTTAACTCAGAAGTTCCAATGAGTTCAGTGGAGCATGTTACCAAGTAATTAGCCTGTTCAAGGTTGCAGCTTAAATCCGCAATTTGGTGCACCCTTGCCTGAAAGAAATGCAAGAGGGCTTACTTCTGAGTAAATATGCATAGAATCATTGAAAACAAGATACATCAACACTTTGACGCTGCGGCAGCAATAGGGTCTGATTTGAATCTGTCCAGTGTCTAGCTTTCGGTATATGGCAAACACATTTACCTCAACGTGGCTTTGCAGAAATCTGATGGAATTTAGCTGAGGTTGCGTGTTGCAGTTCTGAGCCTGTTTGGGAATGTTTATTTCTGGAGAGGGAATGGACCTGTGTGAGACTGGCTGGATCCAGAGTGAATAAACAAAGCCCTTCTCCCACCACTTCGGCTCGCCCTGAATCACCAGTTACATTCCTGGGCTTCTCAAGTGTTTGTGCATGCTTCCAAGAGAGCGTGTGGTTGGTGTCAGGCTGCAGACTCAGGCATTTTGCTGGCTGCAAGGCAGGCATTGATGGCAAAGGGAGCATCTGGAGGTGATGGCCAAATGTGCAGGGAGGGCTGGCATCCTGAGGCAGGGTATGCGTTCCTCTCCCACCCACCAAGGCCTGTGTGGATTGAATGCCTGCTAGCGGAACAGTGGCCCTCCAGTGGCTCACACTAGACTTGCAGGGATGGTCGTGCTTTTGATGTTTGCTCCATCAGTTTGGTATGATTTGGAAAGCAGAGAGCTTAGATGAGCAGGCTGTTGCTTTGCTTTCCTGTCTGACTTTAGCATCTTCTCAGCCATTGCCCCTCTTCTGGGTGACTTCACTGTATCCATTTTGTGGGCAGCTCAAGAGATGCACCTCAAGAACAAAGGAAGTTGCTTGGTCTGTCCAGCCCAATACTGTTAGCTGGCAGCAGCTCTGCAGGGTTTCAGGCACGGGGGTTTTTTTAGTGACAATTCTTAAGTGCACGCAGTTGTCAAGGCAGTCTGCATGGCCATGACCCCAGGGAGAGACTAGCATTTCCAGCAGCATCCTTGAGCTAGCGCAACAAACCAGTTCCAGGGGTTTTCATCCCCTTGGGGCAGGTTGTCCATAAAGCTAAGAGTCTTCCTTGCCCATTCCAAACCCAGCTATTCCCAAATACTTTGCATTACAAGAGAGAACAGTATATTGTTGCTGGGAAAATTAATTAAGATCAGAGCAACCTGGGGGAGTGGAGCATAGCATCTTTGTTAATCCAAGAGTGCTAGGACTGTGTCCTTGCAAGGCTCAGCTCTGCTGCATCACTGTGCCTGCCCTGGTACCCTCAAGGGAAGAGTGGGCTATACACTTTTAAAGAAACTTGGAGCATCTGTCCTGCTGCCCAGGAGCAGGGGGCATTTCATCCATCCCTTCTGGAAGCTATTGGCGCATGGAACCGACGGTGCAAGTTGGCTTTGGAGGCAGAGGGAGCAGGAAGTGGCCTGTCTTTGGGAGGCCGTGGCTCGAAAAGCTCAGTCCCAGCTCTGGTGGGAGGCGCTTTGAGTGCTGTCCTGGGCACCAGGAAGACGCAGGGCCTAATCCCCACGTGGCCGTGAAGCTCACTGGGTGACTCTGGGCAAGTCACTCTCAGCCTAAGCTTTCTTGCAGGATCATTGTGAAGATTAGACAGAACTATATAAGACTCCACTGGTTCCTCATAAAAGGGGAAAAGGTGGGATATAAATGCAGCATAATAATAGCTATGCATTTTCACCCAGACTTACTATCCATAAATGTACCCAAGAAACACTAGCCTAAGTGAAACAAATAAACAAGAACAGTCTTGAGTACTCCGTCTCTGATCTAAAGCATTCGCATTAAAAACAGGGAGTGCACATGTGTTAGTGTGATGTGCATTGATGCAAGAATTGATATTGCAGCTTCATCTACATGGATATTTAAAATGGCTGTTTTAAGATTGCTGAGTTTAGGCTTCAGATGTCTCCGATATACACAGGTGGGAGGAAAACGGAACCATAAGCAAAGCGTGGGGGCTTGAAGAGCAGGAATGTTTTCTCCTCTTCTCTGTCTGGCAGCTGCTACCTGCACTTTGGGTGCCATACTGAGTCTTCTCTAAATCGCTCTGCAGAGCACGCAATACTGTGTAGCTGGTATCTCTGCCTCGGAAAAGAAAAAGTGGGAAAGCATCAATATGGGAAAAAAGGAAGTGTATTTTAGGTCCAACAAAAATACACTGGATGAGACCAAATCAATTTGAATTTGGATCTTCTCCAGATGCATAGAATGTGATGCGAGCAAACCAGCATGCATCAAACAAGAATCGTATATGCAGACTGCAAACCCATTCTCCAAATGCTGATCCTTCTGGACTCAAAAACCTCTCCATTCATGCACAAGAGAGAGATGCCAGCAGGTGAATGACGGGGGCACGCTGACTTTTGCAGCAATGTGAAAGATAAGAAAGTGTGGTGGGAGAACCATCTGATGTGGACTGAGCATGCTGAAGGGCTGTCAAATGCAGGCTGGTATTTGCGGGTAGGAGGAGACCTCAGGTGGGAAGGGGTTTAGAATACAGCCTCCTGGCAGAAGCCCTGGCTCTGAAGTACTGAACAGGAGTGCTCCACGCTGCAACCTTTGGTTACAGGCCCTGCTGTAAAACAGAAATGCAAAATTTAGAGCGACTCTGTTGCAAGAGCTTGCTGCCTGGATAAAGCAGTATCTCCCTCCACACCCCACCACGATCGGCTTTTTCCTTTTTCTTTTCTGGCCATTGGAAGTGGCCTGTGGGAAATCCCCATGTCCTGACCCGATTTGGGCATGAGCCCAGAACCTCTTTGGTTGTTCCATGCGGTGCCAGCTGCCATGGGCAGTGCTCACACAGATCGCAGGAGAGGCTTGCTTGGGGTTGCCCGCTCGGATGTTTGGCGACGGGAAGGGGGCGTGGCCAGGAAAGGGCACCCTCTGGCTAGTGGCCCAGAGCAATGCTCTGCTGCGTGCGGACAGATGGATCTTGTGCTCACGGAGGTGAGGCTTGGGGCTCATGGTTCTCTTTTTCCTTCCAGGCTCCCAGATCAGTTGTTTCTCTCCCAGCAACTTCACAGGGAAACAGTCCGCCTACGTGGATGCCCTGTGTTGGGACTCCTTGCTTCACTATGATGCCGATGCGACGGGAGACTCTAGACCCACATCCCTTTGGGTCCTCAAGGTACTGGGGTGTGGCAGGTTGGGCTCAATGAAAGGAACATGGACACAGGTCTACAGCTTTTTCTCACCAGACAGTGGAGTGCTGTAATGGTGCGAGGGTCAAGCTAAGCCCCCTTGGCCGTGAAGCTCACTGGGTGATCTTGGACCGGACCCTCCCAGCCTGCCCTACCTCATAGGGTTGTTGTGAGCTGACTGTGACAGAAAGCCAGTCAGGATTCCCCACTCCCTGGCCAACTGGGCCAACTCCTGCCCAGAAATCCCTGGGCCAGGAGCCCTGGATCAGCCACTGGATTCAGCAGATGGCAAACCCACATGGGGGAAACAGATGACTTTATTTAAAGGTTAAAAATGGGGGTGGAGGGACTAAAACATATAAGTTCAAAAGGATAAAATCAGGGAAGAGGGAGAAGGGAGGGGGAAGGAGCGAAGGAATCCAGGAGGAGCTTGGTCGGTAGGCTGAGGCGATGCATCCAGGGCCGTATCCAGGTTTCCACTCTAGGTGGTGCTGCCACATTTCCAGGCAAAGCATCAAAAAATGGATGGAGCGCAATAAACGGAAACTTCACCAAGGTGCCTGACAAGGCCAAATGTCTCAGAATGACGTAGCCTGTCAGAAACAGATAAAACTAACTTGCTTAACTCTAAGCACCACTTCATGCACAGACAGGGTCGCAATTAGACTGGCTCGCCTTTCTGAATCACTTCTGCATGGTAACAGAAGACAGCAACTGCAGAGACCCCCCAGGAGGGGGAATCTCAGGAGCGGGGGCTGTTTCATGGCACAGCCCCTGCTTTGCACAGAGGAGCGCTGGATTCACTGTCCAGGCTAGGTTAGAGAGGCTAGGAAAGGCACCATCCTGAACCTCTGAAGAGTCGCTGGGATCAGAGACACGGGACCAGGCCAGGCTGAGCAGTGGTCCATCTCACTCACTTTAAGGCCACTTGTGCTCTTCTGAGGGTGGGCGAAACAGGGGTAGTTTGGGCTGCTGCTGCTTTTGGCCACCCGAGATGCTTTCCCCACTCCCCTCCATTTCCCTGTTTGCTTGCTTGTTCGCTTCTAGTATTTGCACGCGGCTCTACATTCAAGTGGACTTGGAGTGCTGAGCAGCACAGAGTTACATGAACAGGAACTAAGCAGTTAAAACAAGACAGCGTAAAGACTGGGGCTGGTCAGCCAGAAAGGCCTCTGAAACAAGCAAGGCACCCGACGCAGCACTGCCCTGCCTCCAGCGTAGTGCGGTCATTGTGGGCAAACACCTGGAGTGGAAGCTGGCAGCCAGCAAGGATGTTCCTCTTCGAAGGTCGGCACAGATGTTGCGGGTGGGGCTAAGCCAGCCAAAGGAGGCTGGTGTGGCGGGGCTGGCCGCATCAGCCCGTTCCTCGCTGCACCGCACACGAGTCTGACAAAGGAAGGAAGCAAAGGACGCGGCTGTGTTTCAATTGTTTAGTTCTAGGGGCTCCTGAAGACTTACCTTCAGTACGTTATCCCTTGCCCACCTGTCCTCCCCAGAGAGGTCCGCATGGCGCCGTCATTATTTGTTTTTCGGCGCCAGGTGAAGACCTTTTTATGTAAACGTCATTTTAATTGTTAACAATATTTGCTTATTTATCTGGCCAGGGCGACTTCTTTTATATTGTTTATTTATTTTATATTGTTAATTTTAATTTTATATTGTTATTTTTGTATTTTATTGTATTTTATTGTGTTGTA